AAAAAAATATTTATTTAAAAATTACTTTAGGAACCACCAACAAGGTCGCTTGGTTCTTACGAACATGATCCAACGGAGTAGGTGTATTTATCCTTCCACCTAACTCAAAGCGACATGGTTTTAAATGCTTCACAATTCAATCCCGGAAAGTGTACTGACAAGAAATTGCTCATTCAAGTCATGATTTAAAAGAATTAATGAAGTGGTTAACGTTGGGGGAAACATTTCGCGAACACTATGTCTGCGTATACTCAAAAAAAACCCAAAAAAAAAAATTAACGGGTTCTGATTAACCGGTCTGAGCAAAAAGTGTTGAAAGTTTTCATGTTCGAGGAGTTTATGCTTTAACTCTATAAATCCTCTCAATGTTGCCACTAAATTTTTTATTGATGGAACACGAACGACATTTTTTCCAAAACCTGAATAGCATATCTCTACCAGCTCTCAGGATTCGAGCTATTAGTATAACAGTTTATCCAAAAACAGCAGTAGTTTAGCTGTACCACCAGCTTCTTCACGTAGTCCGCTATCTGTGAAAAAAGAACATGAAAATACAATATTTCAGTTAAAAGCTTAAGCAGTATTACCGTTCGATTTAGATAATCTCCACATTAATGAACCAACACTATTACTAAAAACTTTATAGCGAAACCTTCATTTTGTTTATTTTCGTGTGTCGTCCGCTACATCGAGCTTAAAACTCTTGCACATGTTTCCATTTTGCCACATATTTGCTGCCTTCTAATTCAAAATGAAGGTCTTTGTTCAATAAATTCTTGCGCAAACCTTTAAACAAATATGGCACATTAAACAGTGGAATAATGCGTTTCTCGCCCACTGTAAAGCTCTTGCCGTTATCTTGCTCAGCATCTCGTTGACTCTTGCGAACAGTGTTTTCTTTAAGTACAATGACCTTCTGATTAGCTGAGCTTTGATCGCAAACTCCAGCTACAACATTAAGTCCGATAAACTTTTAGAGGTGAACATTAGAGGCTGCTTCCACTCTTTACACGCCTCTTGCAACATAAAAACGTTGACGTAGTTTGCAAATGCGGCCTTTCTTCTACATCCGTGGTTCTGAAAACCGTCAATGCAATCTTGCTTTTCGTTGTACTGATGATGGACTTCTATGCTTATCTCATCAAAAACTAAGATGCAGCTTCCCTCTTGAGTATCCATCTTTTGTACAGATAATATGAGTGACTACAAAATTTTGATATTAATAATGATATCCGCTCTAAACGCCAATTTACGCAGAAGGTTTATCAATGTTTCACGGCCAGGTAAAGAAAAAAGCTTGGAAACAGGCGATAGCTCTTGCCACTGCTTTTCATTACAGCTAAGGCGATTATTTTCTGCTCCAATGTAAATCTTCTAGCCTGTAGCTTTAATATCTGATTCCGTTCTCGTGGCAAAAAATTATATGTAGTATCTGATACATCATTCAATAATTCTGGAAAATCAGTCGCCTTTGCCCTTTTTAGACGTTCTTGGTAAGATGCCATTTTGTTCTTCAGTTGCCGAATCGTTTGATTAGCATCGGTTGCCAATTTATAGAGATGATGACCTTCCTCTGTAAGGTAATTTTATTGCGAACACGGTGGTGCTCAGTTGCCAAAGTAAAATTCATAAGACTCACGGTTGTCGCGTTTCAAAGTTTTTTGGAAGTCGTCACATTTCAAAATTTTTAATTGTTCTGCCTCCAATTCTCTCATCTATGACATTCACTTATAAACGTGCTCCGTTGTTTAAGGTATGCGAACTTAAAATTGGGATTATTTTTCAAACCAATTTACTATTCAAACAAAAAACAAAAATGTAACAATGATCTTATAAACTTATTTCTTAATAACGCTCAATATTCCATTAACAGCGGCTTCATTAATTCTCTTGCGGTTGTTCCATAGCAGTCGCTTGATGAAGTATTCTTCGTCAAATTCCTTGATTTTCTTTATTCGCTGCTTCAATTGCCTAAATGTCGAAGCTGATATTGTCCGCTGAAATTGTCTCTTGTCTCAGTGTCTTTCCGTTCGTCATTTCTTACATCTCAGAACCGCGTGTTGTGGGGTATCCTCAGGGTTATCACATTCATAACACATAGAACTGGAACTTTTCCCTATTCTTTTGCTATAACTCCCAAAGGCTCAATGGCCCGTGGGGAACTGTTTTAGCCCGAAAGTTAATTACGCTCCATTCCTCTCAATCCATGACTTTACGTTGGGGATCAGTTTCTTCGTCCATTCTGCCTTATCTGTATTCAAATTCCATCTGCTTTACCATTTGTGTATCTGTGACTCTCTCTCTTCTTTTTTGTTTAGATTCGTCGTTGTCATTGTCAGATCTACCCTTGTCCATTATAGGCTTCCCACTTTCCACTTCCTGCTTTATTCCCGGTTGTATTACATACTGGGCAAGAATCCTCTCAGTGATACTTCTTTGCATTATGTCCATCCCATCCACATTTATAGCATAATTTCGTTCTATCCGGTCCTTTACATTCGGTCGCCAAGTGCTCATATATCCAACATTTAAAATTTATCCTGCTAACAGGGCTTAATCCGCTCGACGCTAGCTGTATTCCTCCTGTTATATTAGGCTTTTTGGTAGGAGTTTTTTTTTTCCAATTTTGTTCCCACGATATGAGGTGAGAAGGCATTTATACCACAAGGTGCGCCCGGTGTCCCGCAGGTTTTCGATGTCGGTTCTTTTATAGAGGTTTTCTCCTCTCGAGCCGGCCGATGGGTTTCGTTTAAAGGAAGTATCAACGACTACACTTATAGAGCCAGCGAAACTATGGGGTTGAAAACAAGCAATATTTCCTTTTATCGAAGTACAGTGGGGTGAGTAAATTTTACAAGAACAATCCCCACGTGCAGCAATGATTCTTTAGCCAATGGTTTAACTGTTCTGTTACAATACAATCGCAAACATGAATAGTCTGATAAGAATTAAGATAATTTATATTTTAGTGAATCCGATGAAAATTTTTTTATGATTAACCTTTCATAATTAATTAGTCATCTTTTTGAAATATTTGCTCATGACCAAGTCTTTTGATACTCAAAGAGTAAAAAAAAATCAAAAATGGCCGCCACTACTGGTGTCGATTTTCCCTCATTTCGTAAATAATTTAAATGAATTGGATAGACAACCTAGAAACTTATACAATGATAAAGTTTTTAACAATTTGCCAGAACGAAGAAAATTTTGGATTACTTTAAAGCATTTCAAAAAATCTGACGGTAGTTTAATGCGGAGTCTGGTGTTTATTCAAATAGGATTTTGCACGGTTTTTGAATATAATTACTAAGTAGTTATAATATATTTTGAATCCTTTGGGCAATTTCTTCTTGAAGATGTCAGCAGTTTCATTTAGAACAGAATTAGTATGCTTCCGCTCCTCATACATTCATACGAAGTGCACATGGTACTTTTTATATATATTCTGGATAATCACACTGATACCAATGGATACATATTTTACACACTCTGCAAAATAATGTTTTACATTCACTCTCACATAGTTGTTTGAAATTATCTTCCTAGTTGTTTTTCAATTACTTCTTTTTTGTTTTTTATTCTTTCAGCTTCCTTGTGTGCTTAAGTGATCAGAATGTCCTGGTAATTGTTAGCGTTAGGTTTTGCAATACTTAAGAACGAAGAATTCGCGTGATTTGAATATTTAAAGACGTGAGTTTGGGCTAAAACCGGCATAAATACACGGCTCTCCCTCATCACGATAAGGTGGCAGCCCATCGAGGGAGGACTATTTGTATGATAAAAGTGGCAAGAATTACAATGATACTAAGGACTGAAAATATTTGGCAAGAGACTACAGAAACTGTATCTTCAACTTGTAGGAAAATATATTAATGTAAAGAACCGACTGTAATCATTCCAAACACCAGCCAAATAAATATAACCAAAAAATTAAAATACTAGTTTTGACAGCAATGTACAGGTTAGGTTGTTTTACGCTTGCACAGTTCAGCAATCCATACAGAAGTTCTTATGTCCATTGTGAACGAATACAAGCATAGAGTACTAAGCATAATTTTTTACGCATTAATGCTTAGGACATCCGTATACTTTATGCGCATTGTAAATGAGCACTAATATTAGGAAATTGTTAATAATATTTAAATTAAATTTTTGTTAATACTTAAATTGTGTTTCAAGGTGCCGATAAATTTCGTCTATCTTACCCACTGTTAATAGGTAAGATAACATTCATTGGATTTAATTTATTCTAGAAAAACCTCGGATTATTAAATATTAAACGTGCTATAACTTCCGAACCCATGGCCTGATTTCAAAACCGATAACACTGCCGTGACGTAAGTGACTTACGTCACGGGACGCGTCTTTTAACACCTGCCACAAACGAATCCGTCAATGAACAAGAAAGTTATTAATTTATTCAGACTTCGCTCGGACTAACGTGTCTTTCAAAATCGGTAATTTCGAAACCGGTGGACTGATTTAAAAAAGGAAAACACTCCCGTCACATGCGTCACGGGACGCTTCGTTTAAGACCAATTGCAATAAAATCCGACACGAAACACAAAAGTTAGATTTGATACTAGGGTTCCAAGTCATTTTAAAAAATAAAATGGGACTTTGTCACCATTTGGCTATGCGAAAATAGGGACTATTTAGTGACCACAATGGGTACATCTGAAAATAAGTTTTTTTAATATATCAAATTAGTAGAATTTGGAATCACGCACTTTATTGCACAAGAAAAAAAAACAAAAAAATGTATTCTCAGAAAACAATAAAAGTAAACTTGTCACAAATAAAAACTTATTCCAAATTTAAAAAACAAAAAACATAAATGCTTAAATAAAGCAGTAAAAATAAATTCGCCACAAATAATAACTTATCCTAAATTTAAATTAGGCAGTGTCATTCAGTCTTCATTTTGTTTACTAACTCATCAAGAGTAGATGCTTTTCTTTGTAAAATGTTGGCTTGTAATACAAAAGCTTTTTTGTCAGCTACTTCTTCTTTTTATTCAGATCTGATAGGCTATTGACACTTGACAATATACTTTCTGTGACAGTGTGTTCCCCTTTTTTAATTTTTCTTACTTCATCGTATTTAGACCATAGTTCTTTTAAGTCTTGTCTCTGAGCAGTAAACTTATTTACTTCAGATTGTCTATTTCTTTTTTCTTCTTCATCGCGATTTTGTTCGAGAATAGCAGCATTCTTCCGCAGTTTTTCACACTCCAAATATTGGTTATATATGCTGTGTGCTGTTCTTGCCATTGATAAAATATCCTTGCCTAGCAAAATGAACTCAGGTTTGTTATCATAAAATAAACGTAATCTTCAATATTAATAAGAGAATTTAACGTTTTTAGTGACATCTTAGATGTTTCTTCTCTTAAAACTAATTTTGATTGAGAAAAAGATCTCTCTACATCTGCGCTGCCATGCGACAGCGTGAGTAAATGTTGCACCGTTTTAGCTAAATTTTTATATTTAAATTCCGCATCACTATTTTTCAAATTTGCTACACTTTGCCAAAACGTCTCTACACCAATGTCACCAAAGTTGTAATCCACCTCGTTGCTATTTTTTAAACGTTTAAATCCATCTAAGAGTTCATCTAGTCTATGTAAAGTAAACTTTAAGTGAGTTCATGTAAACTCCGTTACTATGTAGACAAAATAACGGTTAAATATAAACTGACAAATAAAAAATTTGTTTGTAAAAAATTGTACAAAAAAAATAAAAATTTAATACAGAAAAACTCAAAAGTTAAAAACTTAAAAAACCGGATGGTAGGAATTAATAATAACATGTACTGTATTATTCATCTTCAAATAATAACTCGTTAAAGTCGTCATCAACTTGTTTTTTCTCTTGTATCTTTAATGCATAATAAACGTGCATGAGTTTTTTTGATCTTTCAAATGTTAGCTTATTTCTAATTGATGTATGAATTAATGCCCATGTTGAAAAAAATCGTTCAATTTGAGCGGATGAGGCAGGAATCATTAGAAGTTTGAGTGCCAAGTTTGAAATCTCAGCAAATCAAAAAGAAGAAAAGTGGGGGGGGGGGGCAGAAGTAGCGAAATTGTTACAGACGCTCCAGTGCAACAAGCTTAGCCAATAGCGGTGGTGATTTAATAACAATAAAAAACACGGCGGTTGGAAAAGTGCAGCTGTGGCTGAGGGTTACATCGACGGATCTTTGAATAAAAAAATAGAAATTGCGGAAATGCTAAAGGTAAAGGCAAGAAGAAGCACTTGTACTTTGGATGAAGGCCAAGGCCCTTCAACTTCAGACTGTACTACTTCAGAAACTTATGTTTGTAATGAAAATGTAATAAATAACAGCCAAAATTCATACATTGAATGTTCCGAAAAGACCAACTTTGAGAAACATGTGTACGCCCAGAGTATTCCAAATATGTCAATCACGGCTAGAGATAATGCTACGATTACCATTAATATTCACAATTCTGAATTTCATACAAATTCATAATTGCATTATATGTTAGGTTATGTTTTGATACGATTTACTTTTCTTAATTACACTGATTGTATGTAATTGTGTTTATTTTTTAGAATATTGTTTGTGAATAACAAAGAGGCTTGCTATGGTGGCATTACGCTTATTCCAATTGAATTTAAAGAAAAATAAAAGTGCAAGTGACAGTAGCTCGCGAAGTTGGATGCATAAAGATTGCTATGCCCGCCAATCGTATAAAATAAAATAATACTAAAAACAGTTTAACAATTGATCCCATTATTAAACTGGTTTCGGTTTAATAATGAGGCCATTGTTAACGCAAAGTAGAAAAAAGTAATTCATTTTACAAAATTAAAAAATAATATAAACACAAAAAATTAATATAAAGGTTTTATTAACATTTGAATATTTTATAATTTTAATTTTTTTGTAAATGGTTTTTTCCGAAGAGGTCCGGGGTTTCCATTTTGGCGACGTTTTCTTTTTCCCTGAGTTCTAACAGGTCCTTTTACTGGAAAATGTGGCCAGAGAGTCTTGCTGTCGCTGCATCTAAATAGCCTTCCAGATCCTTCACTGGTTACGGAGAAGAGCAGTCCCGAATTTAGCGTCTTCGTTTTTCTAAGAATAGGTGTTCCTTGAGGGTTTTCCTCAAAACTGAGGCTCCTTGGGTGATGCATGCCCATTGGTCGTTGGATCTGGTAACGGTCAACAATGAGGATGTGTCCAAATTTCTGAAACAAAATATTAGTGAACAATAACAACAAAATAAAATTATAAATTCCCTCAGGATCATGGACCAAAGTTTCACTGGTAAATTTGGTATATTAAATTTACACGCCATATGTTGTTTAATATGTGCAATTTATATTGTTATTAACTCTGCGTGTCATAATTTATTTGTTTTTTTGTTTAACTTTTTCAAAAATGGCGGGTCACCTAGAAGTTTTTATTTCTATAAGATCCATATGTTGGGCACTTCTTTCACGATTGAAATTTGGGCGATTTTATCTATGTGTAAGTTAGTATTCGTAACTATATTTTCCAAAATATCATCGAAGAAACACAGATTCCAGCTGATCTCACTCCTGGTAAACGAAAACTGTGTTACATTTTCGAGTTCTTACTGTCTGCAATGGACGATGTTTTTTCCAAATCGTGATTCCATCTTTGCCGACAAATGTGGGAACTCTATTTTCTCTTCTTGGTCTTGGAGTCTTTTCGAGCTCCTCTCAGAATATTCTCCGTCTGATCTTCGTCATCACTGTCAAAATCAGACGGTACTTCTTCGAGTAAGCGCAATAGACGTGCTTGCTGGGTCTGTCAGACTAAAATAATGCGTAGGACTAGGATAAGGAACGTTGTATACATATGCACCCACTTGTGAAATTAAAAGTGCGCTAAAAATGAGGAAGGTACTGAATATTCCAGCCGATTTGGTCACTCCACTCATAAACATTGACCACTGAGTCTTTCAGACACGGCGCCAGTACCGGAAGGTTAATAATATGTTATATTTTTCTATTTTAGCAGCATTCTGGTTGTTATTATATTCATTTGCATCTGTGCTGGTTTTAAAAAATGTTTCATAATGAATGACGTTTGGGTCAAAAGGAAACAATCTCGTAGTTCTAAAACGATTTCGTAAAATATCCCGCGTAATTTTTATTTCAATAGTTGTTTTTAACACTTGAGGAAGATGTTCCGTATTAAATTGGGCCCCGTCGCCATTTTCGAACAGGTTCTTTCCATTTGTTATCCTTAAGTGTTTTAAATACAGCAACATTCAGCGGTTGTAGGATATGTGTTGCGTTAGGAAATAAGGCAATGAGAAGAATTTTGAGCATTGGAAATTTAACGTTGTTCTTTAGGAGCCAAGGGTAAAAGATATTTGTTACATATTCGTAAAATGTTGCTCCTGTAATCCAACCTGTCTCACTTTTGGCAGCAGCCCAACTACGGGGCACCATGAGGAATGCGCTGGTACTTAAATACAACCATAGGAGGTGCTACCATTCAAGTCGAAATTTTATTAACATAAATTATAATTTTCCAACATATATCATAAATAGGCTATGTATGTTAATAATTTTAAAATTAAAAATAATCTCTTAAAACTGAACATTCTTCATGAATAATTCTAACTTTAAATTTCGATATTTAGCTTTAAGATAAAATCGGCAAGATCAAAATCCAACCTGGCACAAGTACAAGAATCAACAGTGTACCTTATTCTATAACTTGGAGGCATCTCTATATTTTCTTTGTGATGTTCCTCGACGCTAACATTAAATGGTTTAAATTCAAGAATGTTCCGAAATGTGTCCTTTGCATTTTCTATGTTACACTGTCTCTGTGTTTCCGCTTAAAATTTGTAGAAAACTTCCCATCTACATGGTGTCACCCCCAAAATGCTGGGACGAGGTGACGGAGGAAGCGGGGTCGCCTCTGGGAAGCTTCTGGTGGAGGAAGTGGTGGTGACGGGGTGATGAAAAGAATGTTGTGTTCTTAATGGTGACAGTTCCCTTCCGTGGATTGACTCAGAGTGGTTTGTCTGCGGCAATTTGCTGATATTTGACTACCAGCAAGTGGACCGCAGACTGAACGGTTTGGAAAATCGGGTATGCAAGGGTCGGAGGGCCCCTGCCTGGTGTCAATGGATGTTGATCATTTCCATAGGATTTGTTGATCGTGGTAATACACATGTCTGGAAGACACATACATTCGAAAATAATCCTCGTTTTGCTCAGGTCTTGTACGTTGGCGCAGTCAACAAGATATACTAAAAAATACTGTTAAATGTAATAACGATTAATAAATTGCTTTATACTCACGTGTTCGTAGATTCTGTCCCTGTAACTGACGAAAAGAGAAGGTAGAGGTAGAGGTAGGAAGGTAGCCATTACTGGAGTATTGACGCCGAACCCGTGCATGTATTTGATTACACGTATCAGAGAGAACGCGTATCGTTTGGGCCGGCAGGTCTACATAATGATTAGGAGAGCCAAGAGCGGGAGGATTATCGGGATGGAGATCGGGACCAAAGAGCGGGACGACTGATCGATATCACCAAAGCAGATGCAGGTGCAGCACGAGGTCATGATCACGAAAGAGCACAGCGAGAGGTCAGGTACAGAACGCGAGAATGCATTTTAGGCAGCGGCGGCTCGTGACTTTTTTTCTCGAGGAGGCAACTATTGTATGATTATTTTTATAAATTTGTGCATTATTAAGAATGTACCTTGCTGTTTCCAGTTTCACTGCACAAATTCAACACAAAAATAAAACGTTTGACAAATAATATTTTTATGTACTTTAATTAGGATTGACGATATATGCCGATCAAATAATTTAGCTCTACTCAACGTCGTCGTTAAAAATACATCTCCTCTTCGAAAATAACTGTTCAATAATAATGTTTAGAAATTTTGTATAAATGTCTACCACAGTATATATAAAAATTGGTGTCGAAAACTGTGAAATTTGTTGCATATTTTAATCATATTTAAGACCCACCACTTACCCGGAAAAGACCTGCATTCAGACAAGACTATTATCATTACAAATACAGAGGCTAAGATAATAATGTTATGCATTGACAATTGCTTTTAAAGCTTACCTGACCATAGATTGTCCCCGCGAGTCGTGTGATACCATACACTAAATTATTAAGGATCATAAAATTATTATGTATTTATTTAAGAGACTCTATATTTTAATGGAATCCGTCTTTCCTTTTTAGAAGCAAAATGATCTAGAATTTTGTCATAAAATAAAGGTTTGTTACAAATACTCGATTTGCCCGCTACAAATGCTCGATTTGTCGGCTACTTTCGGAAGTCTCCACCATCCACCCAAGGACGAGCAAAGGCGCTCCGCCAAATCGGAAGGCGCGAAATATGTATTAATAATAACGAGACTGTGGTTCCGAGCGGGCTTAGTTACTTGTTTCTGTTTTACATAATTAAATATATGCTTTAAGTTTGTGGTGTATGCTACATTATTTCCCTACGCTAATAAAGCAGCGGTGGGATAGTGCCTCGTTTTTCGGACTAATTAGAGCACGTTACTGACAAAAAAAAAAACAATTATCGCGTATTATTGCGCAATCGGCCGTTCGTGTGGCATTTGTGCAAGTTTGCACAAGTTTGTGTCTTGCTGTGGTGTGTGAAATTGGGAAAACGTCCCTACACTTTAATTGGGACAACGTCCCTGCATATTATTTGGGAAAACGTCCCTCACAAGTAAATTGGGAAAACGTCCCTCACAAGTAAATTGGGAAAACGTCCCTGCACCTTAATTGGGAAAACGTCCCAACAGTTTATTGCCTGCAGTACTATCGGGAACACGTTCCCACAGGAAACTGTTTTTGATTGCTCTTGGCGAGTCAGCGGTATTGCACGGCGAAAAATTGCGGGAGTACGTCTCGTTGGGCGAAGGACGGTTGACGCAGCAATCCAGGTGCATTATGAGTCAGCAAGACCAATATAACGAAACCTCCGATTCTGACGACGAATTGGGGTTACGTCATCATCGAACACATCGGCATAGACTACAGGTGTCTGATAACAATCGCTCTTATACACCACCCATAAGGTCGCGTGTGGTAAACCCACTAGAGTCAACAAATGAAAAAATCCGTACACTTGAGGAAAAGGTATCGAGACTAACGAACGCGCTCGAAAATGTACATCGCGATAATTCGCGCACCTTGGTATACCGCACGTCACCTGAGTGCATCCCCGAGTTTAACCCAACGGATCAGAAACTGACTATGGCTAAATGGCTTGAAAAAATTGACCAGATGGCCGAAACAAATAACTGGAGCGAAATGGTTAGCATACAAAATATGCAGAGTCGACTCACTGGCGTCGCGAAGACATGGTACGACTACTTGACGTCATACAACTACGACTGGAACGAATGGAAGGCTCTGTTATTCCGTTCGTTTCCCGAACACCATGATTTCGCACACTTATTGCGAGAAATGCTCAATACAATGAAAAGGAGAGATACATCTTGGGAATCTCCTCTGATAACTGGATCTTAGCAACTCAGTTGCAAGATGATCGTTGCCGCTACATTAACAACGTATTGCAACGAGAAGCTTTAAACAAAGATGAGAAACAAATTCAAGAAGAATATGAACTGATCGATAATAGAGTCTATCGAAAGCTATCTCCAGAGTCAAAATGGGTAGTTCCTCGACATGCAAGACGACAAGTTGTGTTTCAAAATCATGACGAAAAGGAACATTTTGGCATTGGAAAAACATTGCAATTTTTTAATCAATGTTATTGGTTTCCCAACATGAGAATATATGTCAAAAAATACGTTAGTCGCTGTTTGGGTTGCTTGTATAATAAAAATGTAACAGGAAAACAGGCAGGATAAATAAAGGTAATGAACCAATGAATACAATGAAGAGTTGGAAACGAAATTCTTACCTTATCGTGGGTGCGGATGCTTTCACCAAGTTCACTTTTATGAAACCGGTGCAGAGTGCAAAGGTAGGGCCAGTATTAAAATTCTTAAACGAAATTTTTGAATGGGTTGGGGTACCCAGAAGAATCATTTGCGACAGAGGTTCAGTTTTTATTAGTAAAAAGTTTGTTGATTTGACCAAAAAGGTTGGTATTAAGACTGTTTACAATGCAACAGCCACACCACGAGCCAATGGGCAAGTGGAAAGGTATAATTCCACCATATTAAACGCTCGCACAGCATCGTTACG